ACTAAAGAAGACACTGAAAGTAGTTGTAATAACTATAATTTTTTAGTACTACTGTTATTGTTTGTAATAGCAAATACTGCAAGGCAAGAGCTGAAGTGAGGGCCCTTTGTACCAAAGACTCCATAAAAGATTGAGTTCTCTAAAACTGGGAAAAAGTCAGGGCAGAACAGGAAAATGTTGTTCACAGGCACCAAGATTTTACTGGGCACCAAATGAAACAATCAGATACCAGACTCAACATAAATAAAAGCTGTAACTTCTTCAGATGTGTCATGTGCCACAAGTTACTGGAAACTGGAGGACCACTATTAAGAAGCATCACCATACAGCTGCCCTGTTAGGCTCCATTACTGCACAGCTGCTACTCCTTGCTGCTGGAAACATAACACTGTGCTGGATGGAGCTTCAGCCTGGCCACATACAGCTGCTGTTCTGCTTTCAGTACAAACTAACACACAGTTACTACCTCAGAGGAATTATACTTGCAATGTGTGAGACAGGCAAAATGGGAGAGGCGTAAAAAGTTGTTGTTATCCCCATTTTTATTAAGGGAGAATCAAGCAAGAGGCTGTGGCGTGACCTGTCCAGTGTCACCCAAGAAATCAGTATCTGAGCTAGGAGCTGAGATGAGATCTGGAGTCCCTTTCAATGCCTAAATTAGAGTATCATGCGTTCCCCTTCGTTAGCCATCAAAAATCTATGAAGTGAAATCAGAGTCAAAGGCATTGAGTTTTCAAGCTTGGAAGTATCTGTTTTTCCATGGAAACCTCTTCCCAGCAACAGCTAAGCTTTTGCAAGGAGAGAAGCACTTCTCATCATGCGAGAGCTGTCAGGGAGCTGTACTGTGCAAAATGCTATAGCTGTGCAGCTGCCTTCTGGAGAAGTCTCGTCCCACAGCCAGGCTGCACACAGCCCCGTTCCCGGGAATCCAGCTGTAATTCTGCCTGCTTGATAATTTTTCACTGTGGTCATGCCAGAATCATAGCCTTGTTTTCTGTTGTCTGGCTGTTAGTGGTGATGTATGAATAAGTAAGAAAGACAGCTTCATTTTCATAAGCTAACTTGTGCCTGGAGTAACAGAGAGTGAGAGGAGTGCACTTAATCATAACTGCAGGGCCAGAGCAGAAAACAATGACAAAGCTTTGGCTGCTAGTGATAGTATTTTATTATAATAACTCTTAGGAAGAAGAAACAGGCAGCTCAGAATGCTGAACACTTCAAATTCATTGTGGTAGCCACTGTGTTCTCATCTGCTGGCAGAATAACTCAGACAACTCTTTTATGCTTGCCTTTTACAACAGGGAGTGGTGGCAAGGAACTGCAGTCCTTCTCCTCAGAAAGTCTGAGTTCAGATTCTGGTATGATGGGAGGTGAAGTGAAGCTGGTGAAAGTTTCCACAGAACTGCATGCATCTTGCAGGGAAGGTGTGAAGAGTGGCAAAGGGACAGGTCAGGGCTGATGGATGGTCAGACAACTGTGGACAAGGAGAGCGCTCATTGCACCTGGTCATTGCCATGGCCAGTGCTTCGTTTCTATAACTCTATAATGCATTTGAAATAGTAAATAACTAAATGAGTTAACTGGTAATGCTCAGATACACCAGACAGATACTCTTCATTCATTAGTATTCTTAATTAATTTTCTTAATTCATTAATATAAAAACATTCTGGTAAAAGATCAGAGTGAAACATTTTTAGCTGTTTAAAATTGGAAGGGTAAAACAATTTTATTTTGTTTGAACTTTTGGACACATAGAATAGTATGGTATATATTATGCATCTGTATTATATGTCATATTGATATTATTGAAAATGAGGAGTGTTATACATTTTGATGTGGTTATTTTGATATCTTCAGTTCAAAATACGTGGAGATTTTTTTTCCAGAGAATATTTCTGAATTTCTTTTTTGTGTACTGATTCAGAATGAAAACTTTTTTTAGAACCATCAATATTTGCTATGCAGCTGAAGTTCTGTTCTCCTGATCACTTCTGCCCTAAGTCAAGATCATAGAGACAATGTAAAGGGAAATAAAAATATATTCTTCTTTGGCAGAGGCAGCAACACTATTGCAGGCTAGAGAAAACAGAAATATAACTAGAGAAGATACAAAACATATCTTCATAACTTCCTCCAAGGCGGCTTGGGAAACAAAGCCATCACATCTGCCTAGTAGGTTTTTAGACACCAGCAAGAGTTACAACAGCCTGACAAGTTGCATGCACTACCCTCGGACAGTGCGTGAAGATGTGCGTTGCAAAAGCAAACTAAAGTGTGTTAGCTAACACATCTTTGTGACAAGCTAAAAGGATAGGTACAGGCAGTTATTCTAGCTCAGTTGATACACAGTAAGTCACATTATATGATCCATGTATCTAAGCCCTAAAACTTACATGACATTAATTTCTGGCTTCATCCATATCTTGTATCAAACCTCAAGGAATACTGGTGAGAGCAGGATTTGTTCAAGTGTCTTCAAAAATATAGGGAAAAAGAGGAAGGAAATTATCCAGCTACAATAAATAAGCACTAACATAATTTCCTGAGCCTTTTCAGTTTATCTTAGCATGAGAAATAATAACTGAGAAATAGGTGTCTCAGGGGTACATTGTCAGAACTGAGATTTTGGATTGGTAAATGGGAAAGTAAAGCCATTAACAAGCAGCAAGGTTTGTTCATTTTTTCTTATTCATCAGTTTGAAGTCTGAACTCTGTGGCTTGTTGGGAAATGCATGGGGCTAAAATAATGAAAGCAGATTGATGCTCCATGGTAAGGAAGTTCAGTATCTGCTTCTTGAAAATGGAATTCTGACATTTCTTTTGATGTGAGCAGTGCTATCCTGAGAAGGATCTGTGGACTGCTGAGTTGTGAAATGTGCTGTTAGAATGTGGGCAGGGTCACTCTCTTACTACCAGCTGTGCCAATCCATTCCAGCACAGCTACACCTACATTTTTATCGGTATTTTTTTTCTCATCCTTTACTAGTGGTGGTAGTTTCATATTCTGATTTATTCTAACTCATCCCTAAGGGAGTGGTTATAAAGAATAGGCAGTCTTCCAGCACAGAATCAACAAGTGTTTGTTTAAATTGTGCTCTTCAGCCTTTTTTTTTTGGCTAAGACTTATTTCAGCCATTTGAGATCCCTTTCATATTACCTCGCAACATAAGGCTTGTGGCACCTCTTGTGCTCTCTAGTGTGTTCTATGAGTATGTGAGTATGTTGAGAGATGTTACAGCTTATTTGTATGAACAAATCATCAGTTCCTTAGGATGCATCTGCCTCTAACTTGTGATTTCCTCCATTCTCTTGTGCATTGCACTCTGTTAATACTACCAGTTTTCAGTAGTACCAACAGGGGGGTGATAAACGTGTGGTAGTCTTTTATATGATCCTTTCTGCTCGCCTTCAGATTTTCCACCTTCTTAAAAAAATGAGTTATGGAGTATAATGTGAAAAATTAAATATGTATAATACATATAATATATAATGGAAAAGAAGAGACATTATTAGAAAATCAGGTCTGGGGAGGACTGACATGTTGTGATTAGGATAGAGTAGCATGATCCTGAATAGTGGTGTGGAACAGACTTGGTAATCTCTCAATGTTATTTCTAGATTGATTTCCATTCACTCCTTGAATGCTTTTGTAATGTTCTGATTTATTTGTTATATGCATTGGCCACTGACTGCTGCCTATGCTCTTTGAAACAGCATTCAAGAGATGTGGAGGTCACTGACATGTCACTGAATTAGATATATCACAGAAGAGTATTTCAATCACCTGACCTATTATAACATCTTCCTAGCTGGATATAGAATTGAATTTATCATTTCTGTCTTTATGTCTTGCCTCTCAGCCCAATCGTGTCTTGGGCCATACTGAAATTTTAGTAATACAGCTATGGTCTACATAAGTAACATATAATGATCACTTAATGCTTTCAGTGCATTGCTGTGACCACACACTCAGTTTTATGAGCATAGCTGGGATTTGAAAATGTGCCTTCAGAGCATGATGATTAATTGCCTTCTCTAAAGGTTGCAAAATAATTTCTAGTCCCAGTCTTAGTGCCCTCCCTGAGTGGGTCCCTCTGTCAAAACACCATTTCCTTTCCTTTCTTTCACTAGATCCAAATGCAGTTTTTCCCTTCCCTGAATCCACCATCACCAGAGCATCATTTCAATCACTTCTCTTATTTACATTTTATACAGCACATTTCAGGATAGATAATTAAGTCCTTATCTATACAAACATTCACTTTTCAGTTGATTTTTAAGCAGTGCAAACCTTCTAGACACATTTGATTTAAAACACGTTTTACTCTAGCTGAAGCCAGCTGCTAATCAATGTAAGCTAAACCAAAATAAGCCCATCTAAAACTGAAATTATAATTTCTGTGCAGCATTTCACACAGGCTTAACTAAATGACTTTTAAATTACTCTCTTAAAACAGTTCAACTTTCTTATGTAGGTAAACTCTTAGAATCCAGTATTTTCCTTAGCAAAAGGGATTTTCTCTGTGACTGAGGAAGAAAACCCTGAAATTAGCAATGGGAGGGGGGCATGGGCAGAGAATAATTTGTTATACTGAGCCTTGTTCTTCAATTATATTATCTCCATCAGAGTATAAACAGATCTTCATATTAGATTATCATTTTACCTATGCTTTCTTCTCACTAGGAGGATTCTCCATCATTGTATTCCAAAATCAGGCAGCATTCAAATTTGTCTGGGTGATACATTTTTGTCAGCATGACAAAGGTTCCCACAGCGTTTAATTACTCAGACTAGCCAGGGGAGAAGGAAAGAAATGAGCCATGCTGAGTTTGCTGTCTGTTACATAAGCAGGCATCTTCCGAATGCGTGAAAGGAAGGCAGCACCCGAACTTCTGTCCTCTCCTTCCACTGGTTGTCCCTCTCCAGGTATCGTGTTTGTTTTCCCTTGAATGACTGCCTTTTGTCTCATGATCTTTTTTGCAATTTGCTCATTTCCAGGGCAGCAGGTTCTTGGCTTGGTGGAGAATCAGAGTGATTGGTATTTGGGCAACCTTTGGAAGAATCATCGGCCCTGGCCGGCACTTGGGAGGGGCTACAACACAGGTAGGCCCTGAGGGTTTTCTTTGAATTAACGTTTGCACTGAGCATGGAATCAGTCTCCTGGTATAGAGAGCATGAGGTATGTAACTTGTACCTCCCTTCCTAACCTCCTGCAAAATTTGTCATTTAAAGCAGTAAAAATGATGCAGTGTGATGCATTTTGGAGTTTCTGGTCCTGTGCTACTCTGAGGAGAACATGTTCCTTCTCTAAATGGTCTCAAGGAGATTGCGGGGCGACCTTTAGGGAACAATAGAGCTTTTCAGCAGTCTGACAAGTCCTCAGTACATATAATAGAATATTTCTCCCCATGATGAAGCATATGTAGGCCCAGCAAGAGGGAAAGAATAGGAATCAAGGCTCCTTTTCTTTAGTGAGGTAAATGGTATCACAAAATGTCAGCCCAATAAATATATAATTCCTGCAGGACAGCAAGGGGGTCATAATTGTCCTAATAAAATGCAAACTACTGGCCATCAATTTCTGCTGCCATGAGAACGAATTAAAGGCTCTCTGGATCAGAGAATTTATTAGGTTACAAGAGACAGGTCTTCCCAGTAATTTGTGTTTGGTATGTGAGAAAACATACCAGGTGCATAAATAACACACACATACATCTCAAGCATTTCAATGCTAGGCTTCACATGCTGATGCAGTGAGTTAGTTTCCCTCTCTGTTTGTAATAAAAGGACAGAAGAGATGGTGAAGCCTCCATTTAGAAAAGATGAGTCCATTTAAATATCCCTGCACTATCAGGAAATTATTCACCATAATAGTAGTTTTGCTACACAGAAATATATTGGGTGGAATTAAACAGACTAACTAGAAAAAGGATTGCAGAAGTTGTTGTTGGGTCATCTGTATTTCTGTATTCCTTTGTATATTTGGGGGAATCACACCAGTTTTTGTGATTTGTATTTCAGCCTCTGCAAGGCGTATCTCTGTTCTGTGAAATCGTTCAAAAAAATAGCCTAACAGAACACAGATAGATATGGATACAAGATTTTGGCAAAAGAGGTTTGTTTCCTGGTTCTCCACTTGCATAGCAGAATTGCATATATAAAGGCTTGGGCTGCCTGTCCCTCTGCATGCTAAAAGCATGAGACAGAGCTAAGTTTCATGGATTTGTCCTGAAACCTGAAAGGTTATGTTAAACACAGATAAACTTGTTGATGTCAATTCTGTTCAGTGTTACACCACAAAGCAATATCTTTTGTTCCACTGAGAGATGAGCGCCTTCTGTAGTTAGTTTCTTTCTGATGCATTTTTGCTTTTTTCCTTTCTGCCATTTTAATGCTGGCAGAGAGAAGTGTGTCTCAACTACATAACTTGAGAATAAACCAGAAATGTATGGTGGGTAGTATCTAAAATGCAATTATTAAAAATGCTGTAAATCCTTAATTTATATTGGAACTTACTGTTCCAAATGTTTCATAGGGATACCAAATGTCAGTGTACCATGAAATTCTTCCACTGAAAGCAAAAATAATTGAATGTCTGCAGTCCTTCACATACATTGCCTGTGTTAATTCTTGGTATGTGTAAATACATACCAACCAGGCCATGCATAATCCTGCCTGTGATTTTAGTCTGCTCAGAATTTCTTTCTTCAGACAACTCACCTGCAGTTATAAAAACTTTCTTTTATCTTTTAGAAAGGAAACCAGAAGGTGGATAATGAATTGATTGACAAGTGATCATAAGAAGGGAAATGATGTTTTTTCAAGTCCATGGAACAAGAGGTCACTGAGTGAAACAGTACAACCTCTGAGAAGTAGCAAACGATGTTATTGACAGAATCAGCATCATTTACTATTATTTTCTTAATTGAATTCATTGTTTGCCTCAGTAATCTAGCAGAGATTGATGGTATAAATCTCTCAAGGAAGATGAAATTCCAAGTGAAACTGGAGCTTGTTTGATGTGTTCAGTAAATTAAAATAATTGACACTGAATGCAACACTGTAGGCAAGGAAGACTGAGAAAACTAAAGGGGGGAGGCAAGAAAGAGAGGCAATAACTCTAAGCAAAATTCTCATGAAAGACAGTGGGCCAGGAAAGAGAAGACTCAGAAATTCAGGTGCTCAGAGTTGTACTTTGGAACTGTAAAAAGGCCCCCAAACCCCTGAAACTTTAATGAGCTAAATAAAGCTGGATCAAGGAGAAGCTCTGAGACAGACTTTGCTCTTGCTCTTGGGAGAGTGTTTACTGCAGTCCTAGGATGCAATCCTAAGAAAAGAGATTTTTATGTGAGCCTCTTCAGCCAGACCCAGCCCTGACGGATTTGATGCAGAAGCACCTATCAAAGTCAAAATTCTTCCAATGCTTCCTCCCAGTTTCTAAAGCAAATCATTTATCTTTCACTCCTACCACTCTGGGCCACATACAGGTTGGGTTGTCCCAGAAGGCAGATACATTAAAGCCAAAGATGTGTTTGTTCCTTCTCCACTAGCTCTTTAAACCCAGTAAGCATGTGCATTCTGCTATTACTGTGTGCCCAGACCAAATCTCCTGACAGCCAACACAGATTCTCAAGGAAAGATTTTCCTTGGTTGTTTTTCACCCTCTTCCTCATTTGCACAGACAGATAATCCAAGTCATACTTCAGTCCATTACAATATAATCTTAGGAAAACCAGGCTAAACTCAAAAGACAGTTCAGTGACAATTTAACTGATGTGTAAAATGTCCTTACCACCATTCTTTATTTGAGGTGACATTCTCTTCCTCAAGCCATTTTAAACAGAGTTTCAAAAGTAGCCAGGTTTTTTCTGTACTTCACTGTCCAAATCTCAGTAAACTGCTTAATCAAGTACTTTTTATGTATATCATCCACTCCATTTTGCATACTGAGATTAACTCTTACAGACTCCTCATACATTAGTTAAAGTGCGCTTTTCTCTCACTATAATCTATATTGTCTTTCACTGACTAAATTGTGCTTTCAAAAGTATTACCTGAGACGCACTGTGATATTTCTTTTTACAGATGTTAAACTGACAGCTCCAGAATTGCACTGTATGGTTTGATGTTCGTTTCTGGAGTAACAGTCATCTTAGTCCTCAGAAAAATACCTTGTCTAAGAAATTCTAAACATAAAAGCTTTTAGTACTTTGTCTGCCTTGCACTTTCCATCATGGTGGAGAATAGCTTTAAAAAGCAGTTGCTGGTGACCGTTATCATGATTTCAGACCATTTCCTCGGCTGGTGTGAATCCCCACTGGCTTCTCTGGCTTTAGTGCAGCAGGGCTGACTTACACCAGCTGAGAATAGACTCCACACCTTTCAAATGGAGCTTTTGGATGGATCTGTGCCTGCAAGTTGGGTGCCAGGGGGGTGTTTGTAAAAACTTTCATCCAGAGTATTTCAGACTTCTAGACTTCAGAAGCCTGTCCTGAGGGTTTGAGGCTCATCTAAGATACACTGCCTCTGTGCAACTTCTAGATACTGTAAGGAGGTGTCTCAACAGCTTGAGCTGAGGATTCATACTCCCACACTGAGAGATGTCACATTACCAGATTTGTGGATTGAGAACAGACGGGAAAGGCTAGCACCTAACGATTACCAGGCTAAGTGTGCACTGTGCATCATTACTCCCATGTTTGTAATGGCTGGAAGAATGCTGGAATTAATATCTTTCCTTTACTTTTTCTCTGAAAAAAGGACCTCTGGTAGGTGAATGGGAAGTGGGAAGCATATGTTATGTCATTTTTGCATGATATTTGACAATTGTGGATAATAAAGACAAGCATAGGGCATACTGTTTGTATGAAACTAGACTAGATCACATCTTGTGCTTCCTCATGATGAACCATGCATCTTCAGTGCAGAAAGCAAATGACTAGTAAAGTAGTGCAAAATGGGGTGGTGATGGTCATGGAACAGCCTATGGTCCTGCTCCAGAGACACGATGAGCACTTTCATGTGAGCTCCACAGGTGTCTGCTCCACCACATTATAATAATGGATCTGATGTTAAGAAGTGCTGAGCTCTTTTAATCAGACATTTCTGTTTTTCAGAAATCTTCACAATTAATTCTTTTAATAGTTACTGTTGCATGATTCTGGATAGATCTGTTACCAAAATGACTTTTATTTTCCCACTGGAAGAGTCCAAATTCCGTGGCAGCCATCTTGAATGTAGCACTAATTTACAAACTGTATTCCATAGATTCTGACTAAAACCAGTGCTTTTCTCCGTGATGTGAAGACAGGAGTATAGTGGTTGCTTGAGAGAGAAGATTTTTCCAAATCGTCTCAGTGAATGAATATGTCAGAGAACTCATGGTTTATAGAACCTTTAAATACCCACCACTGGGGCTTGACTCAGCCATTACGTAAAATACTAGTCACATTTGGTACAGGAACTGGTATCATGTTTGTTTTTAAGTGCAGGAGCCTTTGCAAACAGATAAACAATACAATTGAATGATTTTTTAAAAAAAAATGGAAAAAGAAAAAAAATAAGTCCAACACCAATGTCAAGGCAAAAAGTAACACTTTATTCACCTACTCAGAGTCACGCTGTACCAGTTTTTTGGATTAGCTTATTTCTTCTTTTAAGATACTGTGAGTTCATTCTGCAAATGCTGTTATCAGTGCAAAGCATACTGATACACATGTGCTTTATAACACACAAAATTGCATTTCAAGTACAGGTATCATGCACATTGTACAGATAGTAGTTTAGGAAGTGCCAATACATTGTTGCTTTTAGATGCTACAGGAAATCTCAGTCTGTCTGTGTCAATGGTAGGAAGCTAAAATTATAATTATGCTTTTGGTGACCACATCCATACCTTTGTTGGCTATAATCTGTTGCTTGGACTTGAAAATAAGCTATCTTAAAGCTGACTGCCCTCAAAGAATAGCTTCCCTTCCAATCTTTCTCATGCAGTTTCTAACACACATGATGTACTGAGAACTTGGTTATAGTATACTTGACATTTCTAAAATATGGGTCAATATATATTTGATTCTGAAAGTGGTGCCTCTAGTTTCAGAGGC